GGCCTTAGGGCGCTTTCCAAAAGTCAGAACTGGCCGGCCAGACCGGTCGCGTAAAAAGAAAAAGTAGCCTTTTCTGAAAATTTTTACTGAAACTCATCACTGCCGCGCAAACCACCATTTAGGGATTAACTGATCTGGCTGATAGTCCTGTCCAATAGTTGAATTCTCCTTTCGACTTGACAGGTCTGGCCGTCCAGTTCTTACAAATGGTGAGTGCCCCTTGATTCACACGCCCGCATATATACTAACTAAAGGAAACCATTGCATCTCACTAGTAGGCGTGAAGGAAAAAAAACGCGAATGATATAACCCACCTTAGTCACCTCCGCAGCCATTTAAGGGTCGTCACGCAACGCGCTTCCCTAATGTAAGACAGGCGTTCCCAACGTCGCGAGTAGTTTGGATATGAAAACCAAATTCTGATTGGTCGCATCAAGAGCCATATGAGTTACATAAGGGAAAGGAATGTAGTTCGAAAGAAAGCAGTCGTTTTGGGGGAGGAGCGTTGCGTGACGACCCTAAAAATGGCTGCGAAAAAATAAATACTAGAAAAGAAATAAATGGTCGGCCCCTTTTTAGAGTTTATAGACAGTGAAAGAGAGTAAGTGATAAAATTCAGAGGAAAAAAACATTTATTTTCAATTACATTTCAAAATTTGTTTGCTTTGGTTAGACTGCAAATAGTGCTACTTTTCTTTAAAAAGTTTCTGAGGTGACACAATAGAGAGCTTTAGATTTAGAGACGAGGACGACTAGAAGTATGAGATTTTCTCAATACTGAGTATAGTTTGTCCATCTGTGCCTCCTTTTGTGCTTGCTGTGCTATTAATTCCTTTTTTTAACGTGTTGAGCGGTTATTATTATTGTTTCCCTCAATTTGGTGGCAGTTGCCACTGTTTTTATTTTGATTAATGATAAATTTCGTCACACGGCTCCTTGAAGAACAAACTAGTACCAAAAAAGAAAAGAAAGAACAGTCTGCTTTGAAAGTATTCAGAGCATCAGGACTGCATCTATTCATAGCATCTAACCATGCATTGGCTGCTTTCCCCGCTTTAGCTTTAGCGTTTTAACCCCTTCCTTTGTTATAATTAGCAAAATACTAAACCTAAAAATTTCAACGTACACTACATTTCTAATACCTACTATTTAGACTGTAACTTTCTATGGTTATATTCCTAAGTAAACTGAAAAAGGTTTCTTTCCACATTTTTTTGCCAAATGTTATAAAGCGAGCTGAATGTTATTCACCTCCTAGTGAAAGATGATAATAATAACAAAAGCTATTGCAAAAGATTAAACTACTTTGTTATAGCTTTGAATTTATGAGCTTTGTAAAAGCAAACTTGCCTGAATTTTCTGCAGTTGTCTCCTCGCGATTGCTACTCGAGGAGACGGTTAAAATTCGGGCTAAAAGTAAACGCATTTAACCTTGAAGAACTTTTTACTCAATTTGCTCAGCTTGGTGCATATAACAGCGTTACAATTTGGTAGTTATCTCTTGTAAATTCAAATCTTTTTTTTAGAACCAGATCCTTTCTAGAACAGTTAATTTAATTAGATTAGAAATAGAGGATTGGGCAACTCACCAATGGCCTATACTCTTAGTCTTGTGCGAAAACCACAAGAAAAGAAACTGGTTCATTAAAAATCTACTGTACACTTTCTACAATTGTACACTCCTTTACTTAGCCAAACCAAACACTTAAGTCTGAGAAATGGCTAAACGTTCACCCTATTTGTCAGATACAAAAGCTAAATAGAGTACCAAAGTGTGACGTCATAGAGAATGAAATTTGTGAAATTATGGGATTTGTTAAGATATTCTGAAAGAACAACGTCCAAGGCGCCTACTCGCCAAAAATTAGCAATTTGGGGCAGATTGTCTCTGAGATATTAGCCCAGTTATGCTCCGATGACTCCATACAAATCCTTCTAAATCTTACCTGGTCCCTAATCTTAAGAACCGAGCCATATTTAGAAGGATTTGTATGAAATTGTCAGAGCATAACTGAGCTAATATCTCAGAGACAATTTGCCCCGAATTGCTAATTTTTGGCCAGTAGGCGTCTTGGACATTGTTCTTTCAGAATATCTTAACAAATCCCATAATTTCACAAATTTCATTTTTATGACGTCATCACTTCGGTACTCTGTTAGCTGACTTCTTAACCCTGATAAAGGAATGCTGGATATTTGTGGAGCAATTTGTTTGCAGTGTGTTGTGTACACTCTGTAAAAAGTTAAAAAAGATTGTTTCCAAAATTCTTTTAAAATAGTGGTTCAAATCTCTCAAAACCATCTTGAACAATACAAAATCTCTTTCAAGTCAAATCAAGGCTAGTATCGTATTGACAGTATAGGTCATATGCTCCAAATTTCCCTCTATCCCATCAGGATTAACATCTAATTACTCGCACAGTCAGTGAACTCTGCTTATTATGTCAGTTTATACTTTCATTAACCCATTCGCCCCTGAACCGCCCGTAACCGCCCGTGCGGATCCAGGTCCTTTCTACCCTTCGTAACGCCATCAGTTTTAACGGTCAAGGACAACTTTCTTCGCTAACTTGTGTAGAGTGAAGAGATCTTTCAAACCATACCAGAATGAGCACAATTCAGTCAAGGACACCGGAGAAAGAAGCAAAAAACCACGTGACATTGACCTGAAAATCTCCATGAAAATCTTGTTCCATTGCCCACCTACCTTTCCTTTCACCTAATCCTAAGATCCTTAAAGCTTTCCTCAAAACTCTTCCCACCAAAATGAAGCCTACTAAATGCCCAGCAAGTGGAAAAAAAAATGAGGCAAGAAAAGCGAAAAAAGAAGGGAGGAGAAAAAGCGAAAAGTCAAAGTCAAGATTTTGCTTTCTGCGCATGCCCGAACTTCGCAAGCTGATGTTTTACATCTGGATCAGAAGGCCACCAAGTGTACGACCTGTAAACCGGTTTGTGGTAAGTTTTAGCCCTTTATAGCACGACAGTGACCAGAAAACCACTCGACTAGCTTCAAAACGCGTTTTTCGGCAAAATCTTCAGGAGCGAATGGGTTAATGGGCACAGATTCTCAAGTCAAATTTTTACATTGCAATCCACCAATGACAATATTAGGTAAATATTCACATGCAACGAAGAAGCATTTAGGTGGGTTGACCCACCTATAATTATATAATCGGTCAGTGTAAAACACAGTCTGCAGACTATTGTTTTCATC